GAAGAACCCAGCCAAGACTGTCATTCCCGTCATTGGTGGTCACTCTGGCGAGACCATTGTTCCCCTCTGGAGCCAGGCCAAGCCCAAGGTGGATATCCCAGCAGACAAGCTCGATGCCTTGACCAACCGTAAGCCACACAACCCTCCTTATAACACCTTGCTCAGCCTTACTGACACTGTCCAGGCGTGCAATTCGGTGGTGACGAGGTCGTCAAGGCCAAGGACGGTGCAGGTTCCGCCACCCTGTCCATGGCATACGCAGGTTACCGCTTCGCCGAGAAGCTCATTCGCGCTGCAAAGGGCGAGAAGGGCATTGTCGAGCCAACCTTCGTCTACCTCCCAGGTGTTACTGGTGGTGACGCTATCCAAAAGGAGACTGGTTGTGACTTCTTCTCTGTACCAGTCGAGCTTGGCGTGAGTCTTGTCATCCCATCTTCTTGAGACTCATTTGCTAACTTGCAAAACAGCCCCAGGGTGCCGAGAAGGCCATCAACGTCGTCAGCGATGCAAACGAGTACGAGAAGAAGCTCCTCACCAAGTGCTACGAAGGCCTTGGAGGCAACATTAGCAAGGGTGTCGAGTTCATCCAGAGCCCCCCTCCAAAGTGAGACACCCCCTGGACCAGACGGACACACCAAGAGGAATCAATGCTAACCTAGTTGGGGCAGATAGGCTGTGAAATCATAACAGTGTTTTCAGAATCCAGCTAGAGAGAGACAAGGCTCGCGGATACCAGGGAGACTTGTGTTGGAATGTTGCCGCATGTAGCGAAGGGGCCCCTGAGTCATGAATCGTACTTGGAGATATCTAAGTTTTTGAATATGAAAAGCGCATGATGCCCCAAAAGCCCTTCCAGCCGTAGTTTTGAGGTGCCATGTCGTCGCACTGGTTGGTCCCGCGCACACCATCACCGGGTTCGCTGTGAGATTGTGCCCGAGTCTCATGGTCTGTAGAGTGACCTTTTGCTCTTCAGCTTCTTACTTCCCTCAGGCTCGAAGGCGCCATTGGCCTCGCCCCGATGGCCTCAACTCATCAGAGACGGTTACACGTGCCAATCACAAGCGCCACTGTCACGAGACCTTCCACAGCCGATCGCCGGCGTCTAGATTCGCGATTCGGGTATGGACAAAATGAGATGCGCTCTCCATGGATTCCAGCCCACGCTCAACCACATGCCGACATGGTCCTCGTACCTTAGTCGTAACCGTATCCGGTGGTAAAAACAATAGCAGGCGAGCATAAGGTATGCTTCTATGGTTTCGAGCCCACGGTGCGTATTTGAAAGACGGCGCTCTTGAGATCAGTCGTCTCGGCCTGCACCGTCACGTTCAACCCGAAACCCGAAAGGGCGCCGCGGATGATGCCGCAGGGAAACCAGAGAAACTGCGAGTGTCGATCCGACGTCAGTATGGCTGGCCTTTTTCGAGAGCAGTGAGTGAGGAAGTCGGGACAGGCGTGTACGTACGGCTTGTGATTGCGACAGGGCTTCTTCCAGCCCCCTGGGTCCTCGACCTCTGTCTACGCTCATTCGTGCGAGTGGAGGGAATCGCGCGTCCGTTAGCACGAAGGTGCCTCGGTGGTTTGTTTTTAGATTGTCGATTTGCTTGCGGAAGACGAGGGTCCAGAGGTCTTTGCAGAGGAATTTGATCATGTCTAGCGGTTGGTTTGGGCGGGGTGTGTTTGCCGAGAAGCTGAGTTGGGGGTATCGTCGTCAGCATACATTTTAGAAATTGGGGATTGTGTCTAGAGACATTGGGGTTTCGCGTGGCTCTCTCTTGACGTCGTGGTTTTTCTTTTCTTCTTTCCGCACTCTCACATACCGCTCGACTAGGCCCTGTCCGACTCGATAGCCTAATGCATCTAATCTCCAAAACACGGCTTCCCTTCTCTCGTCCTCGTCGCCTTCTCCGCCGTCGTCCATTGTCCCCTCTGTTCCCAACACCCCTCCTATCGATGTCCTTGTCTCAGCCAACGATCCCATCCCCGTCCCTCGATCCGTCCCGTTCTGACTATCGCTGGAGCGGTCGGCGGTCCTGGGTTTACGATTCAGTGTCGTGGTTGGGTTCGTCATGTTTGATGACAGGGAGAGGTGCTCGGATTGCCGGATCAGCGCTGCTTCTTTGGTGTGCATGTCGGCTGCTATACGGTATGCGAGAGGCACCAGTTCTATGAGGAGGAAATCGAAACATGAGGCCGAGAGTTTGTCGCGGTCTGGGTCTAGTGCTTGTTGCCCTGACATTGTCGGGGTTGTTGGTGTGATGCGTTGGAGTGTTTCGCTCTGTCGTCGTCTTTTTAAGTCTTCAGAGATATTTGACCGATCAACGTCTTCTTTCAATGATGGCGTTCGTGATCGGGTACAGGGTGAGTATTATCTCCCTAAATGTTCGGTTGTCTAGGTGGTCGCGAAAGTGGAAGTGACGCAGGAGGTCAAAGCTTCGACACTGTATAAACAGCGCATGTGAAAGTTGAACTAACGCCATTGTTTTCATGCGATGACGGCCGTGTATCGTCACAATAAATTCGGACATTTGATGTATCCCTACGAGGCTTAGAAGAAGCTTGTTCTAAATATATCTGCAATGTGGTTTATTCACATCGAGTGACTTTTGTACTATCAAAGACTCCTGGAGAATATGCTTGCACCATCTATGCTTTCTTACCATCGCAGAGCTCAACAACAGCATATTTGCCACTCCAAGCCCACTTTCGCGCTCCACTGTCACCTCCGCCCCCCTCGGTCTTCCTGAGCTCCTCGTCCTTACCTGCTGGTAGACCTACAACAACATCGGCTTTGCAAGTCCTCAAGGCCAGAGTACGCATGCCTGATCCGGGTCCGAGAGGACCAATAGCCTCGGTGAATGGGGTCGCTGGGTCCCATATGGCCTGTGTGAATCGTCAGTAGAGGTCGAATACAAGAGACCAAAAGCACCTACATCGCCAGTAAGCTTGCGGTAGTTGAGATCGCCCTTGAATATGACAAGTTCGCTCTCCTTGAGGTCTTCATATAAGCGTGGTGCTGTGCCTGGTAGACGCCAGTAGCTTCCGCCTTCGGTCCAGAAACCATTGGGACGAAGAACGATCTTGCCTTCAGCGTAAAGCTCACTCCAGTTCTCGAAGAGTGCCTTGAGGTCTGCCGCATCCTGTTCCGAAAGAGGTTCGGGAACTTTGTCGTTGGCCTTGTCATCGTCGGATGGCGTCTCGTAAAAGTCCTTTGCATTGACCAGGACAGTGAGGAGATCGGAAAAGTCCTTAGGGATGACGTCGGAGACGAACCAGGGAATGTTCTTGGGGTGGAGAATGACAGTAGTGGCGAGGCCTGACTGAAGCAGGTAGCCAGCTAGAATTATATCAACAAAGAGTTCGAAGCCTGCGTTGTCGAGGACAATATCGACATGTCCCTCCTTATTGCCAGCCCTCTGGGCCTCACGGAGGATCTCAAAGGCGGCGTTGAAATCGTTGACAATGATCTTGTCCTCGGCAGCCTTTCTAGCCTCTGAGCCTTGCAGCTTTTGGATATCCTCGTAGGACAGGTTGGTCAGAAGTGACAGATCAGTGGCGTTGCCCCACAGGCAGATCTCGCACATCTCTGTGAAGAGCAACTTCTCCGCGGCTGTACGCTCCTCTTCGGACTTCGATGAAGAGTCGGCTTTGTCTGCCTCAAGTTGCTTGGTGAGCTGATTGTAGCGTGAAGCGAGCTCCAACACGGCAGGTCGTGAGGATCTGAACGTTGACAGCTTCTGCTTGTTAAAGACATCGTAGTTCTTCCAGTGCTTAGACAATTTGAAGAAAGTACTCAAGCGGCTGTTCGTCTTCTGTCAGGGAAGCTCAACGCATATGAGGCAACAGTGCCGAATTCACGAACCGGTAGAGATAGCATTCTGAAAAGAGCCATGGCGCACCGAACCACCTTGGATTCCCGAGTTGTTCCAATTCCTTGTTGTATCCAGCAATGTCGGGCTGACCATCATCCGGCAATGGGCTGCACATGTGAGTTGGTCCATATTCTGAGCACCCAATTTTCGTCACTTACGTGAGTTGGCGGTCGTGTTGCAGCTCATACTTGAGCTTGGCGATTCCTTCAATGAGTTTCTTGCCTTCTGCATGCTTCTCCGGATCTTGTGCGTTCGACACTGCTTTGTGCAAGTCATCGATGGCACCAGTCTGATTAGGTCAGCTTATTGTCAATGTTCCTGTCTAGATACTGTCGCATCTTACAATAATTATTGGCCATCGGTCTCGTGCGGAGATGTAGGCAAAAGATGTCTTGTCCGACGTCAGGTAAGGTGCTTCGTAGTATCAATGTCTATTCTGGAAGTTTCCTTTTTGTTGAGTTTGGGCTCTTACGGGTCTTGCTGTCGTGTTCCATGATGGGCTGGTTTCGTGATGCTGGATTTTCTTGATGTAAAGACAGTGGGATGTAAACAGTTGGAGGGGCGAAGTGGAGCGCTTCAGAACAAACAGATCTGTCATTCACCGCAATATATTCACAACAACTCCGTGAGTGTTCAATCCGGACTTCGGATGTGCTGATATTGCAGAAAACCTCTCTGAAATAGTCTCTCTGATAACAAGCATGACCATTTCACCACGTCTTAAAAGAGCGACGAAGTGGCGCGCTGATTTACGTCGCGGCTGGCATGACTAGACCTAAAGGGCGACCCTGTCTGGAGCCAGACGCTCAACAAAATATTTCTCACAAGCAATTCAGTAAATATCATATGTTTCTCTCCTCACTTCTTCTCTATGTTGCCACAGCGAAGTCGACTTGTCAATCATGTATATTTAGAGCAATAAAACCCACTCCTCAGCCCAAAGCAAATACTTGGTTGTGGACTCAACCTATGGACAACGTGAGCATCAATTTGATGTAACCGCATTTGGAGCCATTCTGTACTATGGCTCCCTTACATTTTTTTTTGCTATGCTGCTCCGCTCACATTAGAATCAAAAAAAAAAAAGTCCACTTGCATTGCGCAGCAGAGGGAAAATATGTAAAACATTGGACTAGCGGCGAATTGAACGCCGGACCTTCTCCATTCGCCGCTCAGGACATCCGAACTATGCTAAGAAGATGTCATACCACTAGACCACAAGCCCTATTGTTGAAGAAATTGGTGCCCGGCAATGATATATATATACTTCAGAAACTTCTGTGGAGACTGGATTGAGCCTACAAGGCTACAACTCCCTCGGCGTCCGCCGTTTGCTGCTAATATCCCAGTTGCTCTATATGCTCATGCGATGCCAGGCTTGGAATCCATGTAGCTAGATGCTCCCTCAAGACTTCCTAAACAAAAGAAGAAAATCCATACAGTTGCGTTAGCATATATACATACTGTCTGAGTGCAGGAGTGGCTAGCAAAAAGAAACCTCTCCCCTCCCAGAATCGAACTAGGGACCTTCCGATGGCATATACCAGAACTTCTGTTGAGACAGAAGCCGACTTTCAATTACAGTCGGACGCGATAACCAACTACACCAAGGGGAGGCTGTTAGAAGGTAGAATTTTGGTAAATATATATTTATTTTGATAATTGAGGCCCATTGCTTAACGCAATAGAACTTGCGAGGACGAGGTTCAGGTCACGCTGGGAAAAAACGACATCGATATTTTTTTTATTGATATTCATCATTTTATTGACAGTTTCATCTACAAGCCAACTCGACAAGTTGGACTATCCAACTCCTGTCGATTTTAGTTAAGGGAAAGGGTGCTGCCCAACTGTTCTAGTAACGCTGTTGCTATAGTTATATTAGCATTGTCCCTAAAGGGACTTATTACTATTATAGCAGCTTAAAAAAGAGTTAAGAATACTAGATAGGGAGGTAAAGAGCTAATTTAGCCTATTTGCTCTTTTAATTCAAATAATAATACTGTCTTTATTAAAAATATAATAAAACATTTTATTAAAAGAGTAGTAAATGCTTAAAATAACAAACTTAATAAAATGCTTAAGCAACTTAAAATTTAGAATAAGACTTTCTAAAACTAAATAGAGATTCTTAAAATATAGAACAAGGCCCTCTATTAAGAGAATACTACTTTAATAGCATTATTTAACATTATTATAAATTTTTTTTAATATAGTTAAAGCGAAGCTTAATATTATAAAAATAAGACTCGAATATACGCTTATAAAAACTAAGAAACTTAAAAAAGGAACTAAAAAGCTTAAAACGGAGTTTAAAATAATAAATACTAAATTAATAAACTTAAAAGCTAATATTAAAATCCTTAATATAAAGATTAGAACTATTAGCTCTAGCATTAATAAAGGAAGAACAGTCCTCTTGACCTTTAAATAGTCAAGCCTATTGTCCCTAGCTAACCTTAATATAGCAGTATTACTATTAATTTTATATGTATCTATAGCATTAAGGTTAGTTAATCCATTATTATTAGCTACCTAACCTTATATAAGCAATAGAACGCTATTAACTCTACCTACCTCTTCTAAAAAGCTATAATAACTCTTAAGCGTTATAATTGACTTTAATTAGATAATAGCTAAGCAATATAAGCTAATAAAGGACTATAGAGCTATAAAGGAGAAAATCTAAAAAGCTATAGCAGCCTAACTATTAATATACAATATTAATATTAAAAGGATCTAAATAAAGTCGAAAGCTATAAGAATCATTACCTAAAATGAAAAAATATAGCTATAATTAAACAATAAATAGGTTTATTAAGTCTTTAAAATAGCCTGTATTTGCAAAGAGGAACTCTACCTAATTAAGGTTAATAATGTATATAAAATATCAATCCTAATACCTAGCATTTATAAGATCTAATAGAAATTATAACTAAGTTTAATAAGGAGAATAAATTTAGAAATGTCACAAAAACAGCCTAGCTCTCTAAGGGAGAGAAACCTAGAGGGTCCATAGTAGTCTACCTCATTATAGCAGAGGATGCTTAGAAAGCCTTTAATAAACGCAATATTAAAGTTAATAGCATTATAGCTATAGTTAGAAAATATTAGAAAATCTAATGCTTTTAAAGATATTATAACTGTAATAAATACAGTTACTACTAGGCTAGATATAGCTAGCTATTAAAATGTGGCAAATGCGCTAAAAATTATAAAATTAATAATTATGAGGCTATAGCTTCTAAATACATAGCATATAATAGACTACACACTGCTATAAATAAAGAGTGTTTAGTATACTATAATAAAGTTAGCAGAATCTAAAAGGAAAGACAATATACTAATTAGTCTATTTATAATAGAAATAAAGAATAGCAAACTGTTATTAGTTAATAAACTAGACAGGACGCCACTATAAGCAACATTTAATAGGAAACACTTGTTTCCTTTTAGCAAATGTAAATAGACAATCCCTAGTTCAATTCAACCTTATTAATAATCTATCTATTAGCCAGTTTACAGTAATTATAGTTACAAAACTAAGCATTGCTAATATTAATAGTAAACTATATATTTCCTAATATTAGTGCTGAACTATTGTAATTCTATCTATTTATTAAAAAGGACTAATGCATTATGCATTTTAGTTAACATTATATATCTATAAAGACGTTCTATTTATTTAATTCTCTATACAATTATTAAATATAACTGCAGAAGTCATTATTACCTTAATAGGATACATTTTTATTACGTTAATCTATATCCTAAGCTATAGCTGATATGCCTCCTCTAAGCAGAACCTAGAAGAGGCAGCCACTACTAAGCTCAATGCGTTAAGCAGCGCTATTTAAAAAGCAAAATCAGAATATAGAATAAACCTCCTTATTATAATAGAAAGCGACTTTAACTGCCACAACCTAATATAAGGAGGAGTTAACATACTACAATTATAATATATAGGAGAAAGTGAACTAATACTTTAATAAATATATTAATATAACATATTCTTAGTATTATTAAATAGTATAGTGACATTTTTATAAAGACGCTTTAAAACCACTATTAACTTTATGCTAGTGTTCAACTTAATAAAAAGCCAGGTTACAGAATGCAGTATTCACCTAACCTAATATAGGTTGAATTATGAAGCTATAACACTTTAAATTAAAAAGGTTAAAACAGTTATTTTATTAAAAGCTAAATACAATTTTAAAAAGACAAACTGGAATATAGCTATTAAAGCATTTAAAGGATAGAGACTATTAATTGTCAATATTAATAATACTACTAAGCTTAACTAAATAGTTATAAAGATCTAGAACACAGTAAATCAATACATTTACAATTACAGCCTAATAATTAAGGAATTCCTATATATGAAATTATAATAGGATAACAAACTTATAGAGCTATATAATAAATACATTTAACAATTGAACTAGAATAATATATTACAAACTATAGGGCTAGATAGAGAAGAAGGTTGTTATAAAGCTAGGTAAGCTAAGTACCAGTTTTATAAAGGCATTTATAACAAAAAGCAACTATATTAAAACAATTTCCTAATATAGACAGATAATATCTGGAAAGCTGCTAGGTACTTTGATCTATAACTATTAGCGTTTAATAACATCCCTATAATAGTCACTAATAGCAAAGGCTAAAAGGTGGAGCTTAAAAGTAATAAGGCTAAAGCAATAGAGCTACTCTAATGTTTTTTCCTATTAATTCTAAAGGGCTAGAAAAAGGATATGCTGAACCCTAATATAAGGTATATAAACAATCTGGATATCTCTATTAAAAAGGTAACTAAAGCATTAACTAAGATTAGTCTATATAAAGTGCTAAGCATAGATAGCATTCTAAACATTATGTAAAAATGCTTATAGCCTATTTTGAATAACTAAGTTATTAATATCTTTAATATATTATATTAACTAGGATACATGCTATCTATATAAAAAATAGCGTAAATCTTACTATTATAAAAGCTAGGGAAACCTAACTACTATATAGTAAAAGCATATTGCCCTATCTCTCTTCTAGCTACTCTAAGTAAGCTAATAAAACTAATATTAATAAGAAGAATATTATATTAGATAGAGACTTTCAACCTCCTTTTAAAAATATAATTTAACGCTAAGCTAAAATAATTATATAATTAAGCGTTGCTCCTTGTAATTAAGAAAATCTTTAAAGTATAGTAATAGAAGAAAGTTCTTTCCCTTATTAGCTTTAATATAAAGGGAGCATATAATAATATCCTTTAGCAAATGCTTATTAGTTAGCTATATATAGAAGGAATCCTAACCTATATAGTTATATAGGTTGACTCCTTCTGTACTAATCAATTAGCTATAATACTAGTTAACAGTATAGAATCAAATTAAGTTACTTTTATAGAATTAGGTCTCCTATAAAAATCAATACTTGCCTTGATTCTATATATCTTTTTTAACGCTTTTTTAATAAAGGAGAAGATTAATAGAAGACAAGGCAATATAGGGTTTATAAATAACTACATTTAATAAGCTATTTTAGAATTAGTAAAATAGAATATGTTAATACTTAATAACAAAGTTGTTTTAAAGGCCCTCTAGTAAGTAAAAGATAGTAGCGCTACGTTTAAAAGCAATAAAACAATTCTTATATATTTTATATAAAACTGTAGAAAGATTAACAATACTAACCCCCTATTTAAAATAGGTAATTACGTTATTAAACCCTCTATAAAAGAGAGAATCCTAAGGGTTATCTTTAATACTAAGCTAAGGTTTAAAGACTATCTAGCTAAAGTCAACAAAAGGTTAGAAAAGCGCTAGTTAACTTAAATGCTTTTTCTATATTAGACTATAGTCAGCGCAACAATTATACTAAGCTATAATGGCTTTAAAAATAGACTATATAGCTGCAATATAGTATTCTAAGTCCTTTAAAGGAAAAATTGATAATAGTATAGCTAAGATTCTTAATTCTATATAAAGAATAGGAGCTTAAGCAATTGTTAAGTGTTTCTATATAACTTTAGTCAAAGTGTCTAATGCTAAAGCTTTGCTCCCCTTTTTATACATTTAGCTAAAATTGAAGATTAGCAAATTCTAAATAGGACTCTATACATTGCTAGAAACTAACCTATTAAAGATACAGCTTAGAAAACTAGTTAAGAAGCCTAAAACGAAGTTGTTCACTTACCCCTTTTATAATATAGAAATACAGTTA